TTTTGATCATCTTTTTTCAACCATTATCTCCTAAATTACATAAAAAAATAAAAACTCAATCTCGGGATAACCAAGGGTAAATGATATTATTTTTTCATTGACTTGATTATTATATGTTGGGTATAAGAAATAAAATTTTTCTTCAAAAACTCAATCACGACTTCTAGGGATAATAATTTTCAAAGAATAAGACTTAGACTCAAATAATATCAAAGATGACTTAAAATCATATCTCAAGAGCTCTTGACACACTACCCCATGCAAATAATTCAATTTCAAGCAATCAGTCACAATATTTGATGTTGACCAAAATAAAGATAATGAGACTATTTAAGAAAATTAGTTGAATAAAAATATTCCTGAGTAAAAGTAAATAATCCTCTAAGGAATATTGAATCAAAACTCACCAGAATTTTTATGCATCTCCACTATATGTCTGAAGTTCTCAAGGTAAAATACTTAACAAAATTTTAACTTAGTAAAGTTTAAAGTGAACAAATTGTGAATTTTTACAAGAACATGATATGAGATACAAAAATATAGAATAAATTTTTATGTCGTGCTTAAACAACTGCAAATTGAAAACTAAGCAAATTATTAATATATTGTTGTGTCAAATTATGCATAAACATGTTATTTAGATATTTAATAACCAAAATATTTTTTTTAATTGTTTTAGACTAAAATTTTAATAAACTAGAAATTATCAAAACACAAAATACGTCCCCACCCCCAACCTAAATTCAACATTGTCCTCAATGTAAAAATAAGTACCTTAATGTTCAATAAAAATAATAAATAAAGATCAAAGAGATAGGAATACCTGATGCCGCAGCAACTCTAAAACCTAAAAATAAAAAACTTAACAAAAAAAGAAAATTATAAATTGAAACAAATAGAAAGAAAACTAAAATTAAACAAAAATAAAATAAAATCTAACTACTATGTACAAATAAAAATAAAAAGCTCACACTCAATCCAATTTAAATTCATATTTGAATATACGCCATTTTATTTTTAATGGCTTAAAAATATGATGTCGAAGTAACTCCTTTAATCGAACTATCCACTTATATACCTAATATCTCCTTGGAACATGCAAGAAAAGGGAGATATATACATTTTTATGCAAATCTAACAATGAGATAGAAAATAGATTTTTATCAACTACAACACACAACTCAACTTTCATACCCTTACTAAGATTAGATATTTGAATCTCATTACTACTTGTTGATAATGAAAGGTCTTTGGGCTCATTAGCCTCTTGTTGAATAATAATGTCACTTAATTTTTAATTATTAAGAGTATTAATGGATTTATCCACAGTCTGTAGTTCAGGAAAAAAATCACTCTCACTACATTAATTATTCTCAACCTCTTGTTCTTGGGTCAATGTATTGAGCATGTCTTTTATCTCTTCAATATATTGGCTTATTTGGGCTTGAAAACTAGTTGGGTTTGCATAAATTCACAAAAAATGTCTTCCAAAATATTTTCTTATAAGTCATGGTAGGATGGATATTGGGGAGGGTTTTGTGGTGGTGTGACATATATCGATAACTGATAAAGTTTGTTTCCCCCACCAAAATCAGAATAAAAAATTTCAAAACAATGGTCGGGATAAGGTTGAAAAGAATTACGTAATACAATAGACCCATCTCTCAAAAACTGTCGAGCCGTTGGAATTAAAGGACACACCTTAGTGGGATACCAAAACACATCACAAATCACACACAGTTCTTCCACAGGGGAAACACTTAACACCACATTAGAAAAATACAAAAATAAAAATTATGAAAAATCTAACCTGAAAAAGGAATAAAATATATAAGATAAAAAATTTTGGGGGTACGAGATTATTGGATCTGTGACAAATCTCAAATCTAGCAAACCTCAATAGATGTCGGTGCGTTCCTTGTTTTCAAACAAATCCCCAGCAACAGTGCTAAAAGCTTACTACAACTTTAAAATTGATCACCTAAGTGCAGATTGTGTAAAGTAATAAATTTCTCGAGAGTCCAAGATCGAACCACTAAGAATTGTGAAAACAAAAAGAAAAGAAACTGTTTTGGAATTTATTTAAGTGGGAATTTATCTATCAGAACAAAGATGGGTTGGTTAAAGCAATAATTAAAAATACTAATGTATCGAAGATACCCTTTCAAATCTACACAGTAATTATTAATGATCAAATTTTTGAACTTAATTGAGAATCAGCTAAGGAGTGATCCCAATAGGAATATTTAGCAGTGAGAATATGGAAACATCAAAAGTTATAATTAAAAAATTATTTGAATAAATATAAAAATTTACTTGTACATCACAAGTATTCATCGTGTCTGGAGTCTACGATAAATCAAGTTTTCCAACAATTAAACCTTATTTTATTGTAAATAATAATCAACTAGCACATCAGAAATTCTAATTAATTAATTCAAGCATGGAATAACTAGTTATTTGACTCGCAGGGAATCTCAAGTATTAGATGTACGTGGCACAACAAATCAAGAAATTATATAGAGCAAAAACATTACTAAAACATAAGAATTAAATTAAAAGAATAAATCATACATTAAAAATAACATTGAATCAATAATAAAAACCATGCTTCATTGAAAGTATCTCTCCTAGCCTTAGTTGGGCTTTCAGCAAGCCATAAAACTAGAACAAAAACTAGAAAAGAAAATATAGGAAAAGAATAATAATAATCATAATCCTCTCTCAATAGGTGAGAGCCCTTATTTATACTAAAATAAATCCTAGATATATGTAAAAAATTTAAGGTTGGATTGAGAAGAATTCCTTTCCAAAAAGAAGTCTTTTAAGGTTAAATCTTGTGCATAAAATCTTGGGGGCGCGGGTACAAAATTTGTCCAGATTTTGAGCTTAAATTTTACATATTTAGAAGCAAATTCATGAAATTTTTGTGAAATACACTTTTATATCATTTGAAGTCTTCTTTCCAACCCTATAAAAATCATGTCAATTTGATATCGGAGTCAAAATTTATAATCAAAATACTGAAGACATGTAAATCCTTATCTTCTAGGATACTTTTCTAATTTAACTTTAAATGAGTTTTCTTCTAACTTAGACTCTTATATGGGCTAGTTAGTGCACACGTACGTTGCACATGAACCATTTTCAAGTTAAAATTTTTGATTTAATGTGTTATAGACTGTTCTTCTAACAAGACTCGGTACTAAACGTTAGATCAATAATTATAAAAGGAATCAAAGAAAGTAGGTTAGTTTCCTTGTAATACCCATTTACTAGTTTATGTTGAATTCATTTTCAATGTCATATGTCTTTCTTTTCCAACTACTTGGCTATGATGTGGATCTCTAATCAATTCAGTACAGTTCTCAAACTACATAGGGAAGCTGCTTATTCCATTCTACTGGAATCGATTGCCTGATATGTGGTGTGAGAATGTCTATTAGTATGTATGAATTCAAGCGTGAAATCCTAAACAATATGGTGGTTTATTGAACAAGGGAGACAGCATGCTCTTTTTTTCCATTTTTCCTCGTAGGCTAATGAGAAATGATATACAACACAAGAGGGAGAATACAAGGTCAGTATTCTCATGTTTCTAACACTAAAATAAGGAAAATATGAAACTAACAACTAAAATCAACATAAAATGAATCCAGTAGATTTCTAAACCCACAATTCATGACCAGAGACAACCACCTAATGTTGGGGTTGTGAAATCAGAGAACACAACAACTACATAAGGACCTTGTAGTTTCAAAAATGTTACAACCCTTGTATTTCTTCAAACATATTACATAGTAGTAAAGTTCATCCGGTATAGTTCAAAGGCCTTACCCAGACTGACCACACCGGCACATACAGAGCCCCAACAAACAACATATTATAAAATGATACGAGGCACACATACATTAAAAATCCAGCAAACAGCCCAATTGAAAGCAATTTTTTCTCTCCTATGCTGGTAGCCAATGTGGGCATGAGAAACAAATGCAAGACTTCTCAAATATTCATGAGTTGGCACATAAGCAAGTAGAACTATTTAAGGGAGTACCTTGTAATAAGAAATGGGAACAAAAGGATAGATAATGGTAGCAAAACACAACACACAACAGGAGAAAATTTTTTACGACTTACCTATGAAATTGTACCTCCAAAGTTGACAATCAACATAAGATCATCAAACTGATCTTTGTCGAAGTGAAATTCAGCCTTTAATGAATACTACACACAGATAGAAAATTTGACATTATCAACATATTTTAGCTAATTATTGAGTATACATATTTATACTATAGAATATTGATATTGATTGTCAAAAGTTTTAGGTAGCCATGCTCGTAGAAGCAACAAAATCAGACAAATTGTGGTTTGTGTTGAAAATATCCACAATTTAAATAATTAAATGGATCAATCATTGCCATGAGAAAAGAAATATGATAATCAATTGGCAATCACACTATATCAAAACATGAAGAAGAAGATGCATCCTTGCTAGAGGCATGTAGTCACACCTGATATGGTGTGAGACTTATCTATAAACTCATCTTAGGATTTCTCAATTTTCCTACATCATGAAAGAACAATTACTCATTTCCCCCTAGTTTCTCCTTTTATAATGGCAGCAAGATAAGTGGTTTAGTTGGTGCTTCCAGAAAAGCATACTTTATCTAAATTGGACTTTTAATGCTTTTTCTTGTTTTAGCTCCAAATTATATACTTTATCTAAAAGGCTTAATACCAATGATATGTTACATTTTATATATCCTTCTTTTATTAATTTCGATACATTCAACTGTAGTTTATCATTGAATGTTGGCTAATTGAATGAACAAAGAACTTTACTTTGTGTTTCCGTGATTACATTTATATTCAAAATTTGCATGTCATGGAAGAAAAAGTAATGTTTTAAAGAATAATTTACCAGTAAAGAAGTTTGAATTCCACCCTTTGCAAGACTATTGAAAAAAGCAACAAATGCTACTCGCAAAAATGTGATAATGCTTCGAAGTCAGGATGTTGGATTTGGTGGCTCTTTTGTTGTTGTCAAATGGCAGGATACTATGGAGCGTTCTTCTTCTCTGATTCTTGACTCTTCGTGGAAGACTCTTCTTGGATTTCTTCAAATTCTAGAAGGCTATTTGTGGATCTCTTTGCATTTGACTTTTGGGAATGCTCTTGGATCAACTGTACATGGATATGCATATATGATTGCTCTGACAATTGGAATTCCTGCCCAGCCTGGTTTTTCTTCTTTTTTGCAGGTCTCTGTTCTAAATACTCATACAAGGGCTCATCGTTTTAATGGCTGTCTACTGCTGTTTATTTTGCACCTGGTCTTCTTCATCTGGCTTTCTCTATCTCTTGCTGAATATTCATCTTCTACACTTAAAGGAGGGGCTAGCCATGGACGCTCTCAGGTTTCTCTTGGGAGCTTTTGGATTCCTCAGAGATATTCTCTATTTTTCGTCTGAGGCTTCCATTTGCCTAACAATGGGACTATCAAGACGTCTTGTGAGTTGTATCAAAAGTCTTTTCAGTTTCCTCATCAGACTGCTTTTGCTCACAGCCCAATGGCAGATCAGCCTGTTGAAGGCTTCAGCTCCTTCAGCTTTCCCATCAGCTCATCCCAACTCTTCCTCCAGCTCATGCCAGATCAAAATAGCAACTGCTCATGGAACTTGGATCCCTTCAGCTGCCCATTTTACTGTTGTATACCTTATTTGGATGCAGCAACTGAACAGTCACTGTTCACGTCACTGTTCAGCAGTCAAAGCAGTGCAAGCTCTCAAGTGCATTGTTTATTTTACACAACTAATTTTGTATTTTAATTAATAGGTCCAGAGTAGGATTTTAAACCATTATTTTTAGTTTTATTTCATTTCTCAACCCTCTTCTTAGTCATAATACCTATATTTTTATACATTTCCTTGCAAAAAAAAAAACTGCAGCGAGAGAAATACACTACAGTTAGAATGTGCACCCAATGTAGAGTAATTTCATATAGCACTAAATCCTTATTAGGTTAAATATACGCAATAATCATAGTATTGTAGGAGACAACATTTCTTTTGGGCATTTCATCAAATATTTTGTAATAATGAACTGAANTTAAAAAAAAATTTGTCTAGGAGGTTATATGCTCGCCCAGGAGGTAGCTTGCTCGCCATGGAGGTGGCCTGCTTGCCCAAAAGTTGGTTGTTCGCCCAAAAACGCACCCTTGGCTCCCTGCTCNTAGAGTAATTTCATATAGCACTAAATCCTTATTAGGTTAAATATACGCAATAATCATAGTATTGTAGGAGACAACATTTCTTTTGGGCATTTCATCAAATATTTTGTAATAATGAACTGAATTAAAATGAAAACTCACAATTAAAATTCAAAACCTCACAATTGTAAGCCCAATGCTATAAACATTGCATCTCAGGAAAAGTGAAGAAAGGAGGGTGCGGAGGGGAGAAAGAAAAAGAAAAGAAAATGATGCTTCTTAATTTCAAAGAAACATAATGACAATTTATAATCAAAACTTTGTCTGTGAAAGCAACATTGTTTTAACAAAATAATAGAAGTTATTGCATCTGAGTAGTGATGACAATTGAAATGACACATACAAGAAAGAGCCAAAAAGAAAAGAAAAGAAAAGAGATTCTTGCTCACCTTTTTTATCTAGAAGGAACGTTAGATATTGATAGCTTGTCAAGTTCATTGAATGTTAAGTTCTTAATATGCTATAATGTTTCCTAGTCCAATTGACTGGCACTAAAACCGCAAAAGCAAGTGCAATTATAAGGACAAATATTTGTAGGCTGCACCAGAAGTTTCGAGTTAAATGATGGACATAAAACCTACAAATCATCTAAAATTCTGCACACACTGTGTTCATCAGTGTATCTCCCTCCATGAAAATGAAGCACAAAATCATAAATTGTAACTAAGTATATATAATATATCTCTAATTAAGTATATATATTAAGTTTTTTTTACATGAAAGATATGTATGATAATCAACTTTTATGTTATTATTTTTGCCTTCATCTTTTGTTTTTGACTTGTCTTCCAGATGGATTCTATAATTCTATTCTCCAAGTAATCTCTTTAGCAAAACAGAATAATAAGCAATAAGCAAAATCAAAAATGAAAAATGAAAACTCCCCAAAGCAAACCAATTCAAAAATTATGATCTAATAATTTGTTCACATGTGGAAGATACCTGGTCAGAGAGAGGGGCGGAGGCCTCTAGCAGTGTGGGGAGCTTGAAGAAGAAGAGTGTTTTCTATGTATCTGGGTTGCTGTGTGATTACAAGAAAAGCTAAATTTTGGACAAAGCATATAAAATTAGGAGAGGATAATGATTATAGGCAAAAATTACAGGAATGATTTGTTAACAAAAACTCATTACTTGATGCAGTACAGTGTTGGTTGTGTAATGCCAAGACCCAAAAGTCGACTGACGTCTCACAGAGAAGGACGAAGAGAGAGGGAAATAGGGAGAGATAGAGAGGGAGAGAAAGAAAGAGAGAAAGAGAGAGAGAAAAGAGAGAGAGAGAGAGAGAGAGAGAGAGAGAAAGTAGGAGAGAGGGTAACGGCTTAGAAGTAAAGCGGTCTCTGAATAGTGACTTTGAGAGAGGAAATAAGGAGAGAGAGAAGAGGAAGAGAAAGTAGGGAGATAGGGAGAGAGGTTAACGGATGAGAAGTAATGGGAAAAAATTAGAAGGGATGATTATATTTAGTGTGGGATTAACCCTAAAGGATAAGGATGACATAGTTGTAAGAGTAATGTTATTTAGACCTAAAAATCTAACCTAATTTACTGACATAATGATGTGGCTTCAATAAAACCATTGGATTAACACCAAGCTCCAATGTTTGATGGGCTCCATAGTCAATCCAAAGGTCATAGTGAATTAGGTCAGCAAATTAAGTCAATAAATTAGGTCTCAATAGCATTGCTCTAGGGTTAAATTTAGAGGATAAAGTTGGAAAAAAAAATTTTCACATATATTGGCATTTTAAAGTAGTATAGATTAAATTGTTGTCTTATCTTCAAATCTTCCTTTCTTAATATTGATTTTTCAATCCTTATTAATTGTGATTCTTCCTATAGTGATTAATTCACTTGCCTTATCCATTATTACTTTAAATCAACTAATTACCTGTAAAATAAACCAAACAACTAGAAAAAAGTATCAAACTAGAAAATCAAGAAATTTTACACATTTAATCACAAATAATATACAATTAACCAATTATTAAAGATAATAAAATATCACATTTGATGATTAATCACTACCCCTTGTGATTCTTCTACTATCGGTTCAATGGTGACAAACTCATTATGGAGTGATTGATCATTTAATTGTTGTTCAATGTTGTCATATTATACAACAACTGTAGGAACAACAATATCATTAGAATTTATGGGTGATGGGACTTTCTCCCTAACTTTTTTAATAATCACATTTCGTGATTTATCACTCCCACTTGTTTCACCATTCTTAATGAATCTGACATTACAGTTTCAACAATTCTTGTACTCTGGTTAGGATAGTAAAACCTATACCCTTTGGATTTTTCTGGGTAATCAATAAAGTAACTGTTAATTGTTCTAAAATCCAATTTATTTTTATGCGGATTATAAATCTTAACCTCTACTGGACAACCCCAAGCATGCAAGTGTCTTAAACTCGGTTTACTTCCTGTCCACAATTCAAAATGAGTCTTTGGAACTGTCTTACTAGGAACGTTATTTAATAAATAGACAGAGGTCTTAAGAGCTTTCATCCACAAAGATAAGGGTAATGAGGAATTACTTAACATGCTCCTAACCATATCCATTAAAGTAAGGTTACGCTTTTCAGATACACTATTCTGTTGTGGCGTACCAGGTATAGTGTATTGTGCACAAATGTCATGCTTTTCAAGGAGTTTAGAAAACAGACCAGGAGATTGTCCTAAACCATTATGTCTTCCATAATATTCAACACCTCTATCTAATCTGATAACTTTCACCTTTTTATCAACCTGTCTTTCAACCTCAGTAATGTATACCTCAAGGGCATCCACTGACTGATATTTTTCATGTGATAAATAGATATAACCAAAACGTGAAAATCATCTATAAAGGTAATAAAATAATTTTCTCCACCAATCGATGGAGTGTCAAAAGGTCCAAATATGTTTGTATGGATAATTTCAAGGAGTTCATTACTTCTTGTGGCACCTTTCTTGGTGTGTTTGGTTTGTTTTCCCTTAATACAATCCACACACACTCCGAGATCAGTGAAATCTAGATTCGGAAGAATCTCATCCATCACCAATCTCTCCAACCTTTCTCTGGATATATGACCCAGTCGTTTGTGCCACTAGTTAGAAGAATTTTCATCCATCAAGCTACGTTTGGTTCCAATATTATGATGCAGGGTTAGAAGAGACTCAAAAAATAGGTCATCAAGTTTCAATTTGTACAAACCATCATGCAGAATACCAAAACCAATGACATAGGTATTCTTAAACAAACTAACACTCTTATTTCCAAATTTAAAGGAATATCCATCAACATCAAGTCTAGACAAAGAAACAAAATTTCGAGAAATAGAAGGAACATAAAGTGTCTGAAATAAATCCAAATTATAACCAATAACTAGAAATAAACGAAAAGTCCCAATAGCTTTAATTGGAGCTTTGACCTGGTTACCCATGAATATGAATTTCTCATTTGGATTTATGGTCTGAGTTATAAGGAATCCCTACATCATATTTGAAACATGAATAATAGCACCAGAATCAATTTGCCAAGTATTTGAAGGAACTTCGGTAAAGTTTGATTCGAAACATACAAAAACTAAATGTTTACCTTTCTTTTCGAACCATGCCCTTCGCTTATGGAAATCATTCTGAAAGTGCACCAACTTCTTAGAGAAGTAACACCTATCACCCTTTTCCTCCTTATAAGCATGAGTAACTTGAGTAGGCTCATTAGTCTTGGGTGGACCATTATTCATGCCTTTAGGCTTCTTCCATTTCCTTTTTGCTCTGACTTACGAGAAGAACTGAATGATTTTCCAATTTATTAAGTCTTGTCTCCTTTTGAACAAGCATGTTGGTCAATTAATTCACATTCCACTTATCCTTAATAGTGTTATAGTGAACCTGAAAAAGACCGTACTGAGAAGGTAAGGAGTTTAGAATAAACTGCATCAAAAAGAAATCATCCACACCCATCCCGAGAGCCTTCAATTTAGCGGCTACATTTGTCATCTCGATGACATGATCATGCATCGTTCGTGTACCATCAAATTTCATGGTTGTAAGCTCAGCCATTAATGTCCCAGCAAGAGACTTATCAACAATTTGGAAACGATCTTTGACAATATCAAAAAATTCTTTAGCAATTATATCTTTATGTGGAAGAGTTGACTTAATGTTTCTTGCAATGGTGTCATTTGCATAAACATAAGGCTCAACCTGCTCG